TGTATCTACTAGAAGACCCATAATCAAGAAGGGATTCGATTAATTGTCATGGAATCAGGTACGCTTAATTATGTTTTACCGATTAATTTGATATGAAGATTAAGTATATTTTTGAATTAATCCTAACATTTTCGATATCTCATATTTCTAACACCATCCCGCAATCGTAACGGTAGTAAAACGAACGTTGCGATTAGAAATTCATCACTTTGTTGAATTCGATTGAGTTGCTTTTCGACTTAGTTAATGTCGCCTTCAATTTTAATTTTAAAAAAAAAACAAACTTTTGCAGCCACGTCCCTTTGTTAGTGTCCATGATCTTCTGCCACGACCCTTTGCTAGTGTCCGTGGTCTTTTGCCACGACCTTTTGCTGGTGTCCGTGATATTTTGCCACGACCCTTTGTTGGTGTCCGTGATATTTTGCCCGGACCCTTTGTTGGTGTCCGTGTTCTTTTGCCAAAACTTTTTTTTTTTTAATTAAAAGTACGCTAAACGTGCCTTTTCTTCATCTCCATAGAGATATAGTACGGGAGAAGTTCAAACACATACTCCAACAAAAAAACCAATACCCATCATATACTCATATAAGATGGATTAATCACGTATACCAACCAAAAAATTGCATAACGGAATTTTTATTAATCCCTCCGGTGAGTTTAATTTACAAGCCACCGGCAGGGAGAAATTTCTTTGAACGGTCCCAAGATTTAACCTGCTCTTGATACCATGACAAATTATAGAGATAATATGATTGAATGACTTGTTTATTATTCATCAATAGTTAGAGTATTTACACAAAACATATGATCATAAAATAGAAAATAATATTTCTAAAAGTATACTACCATAATCATAGATCCTAAAGATATATTCTCTAAATAATATCTTAGCATAAAATAAACCTAATATATTATTCTCTTAATGATATCTATATAAAATATATCACACATATATTTTCCAATATCTCATATATCTAACATAATCTCTATATCTCAAAAGTTGTAGAATTTTCAAGATGATTCCAAATTTAAGTGGAAAATTCAGGAGCAAGCAAGCAAGTATGAGTATAGAAGTTTCCACACACTTCTTCTATCTCTATATCCATCTATATTAATGTTGGACATTCTTGGAAGTATATATACAACTACATCCTCCAATGCTCCGATCCTATTTACAAGTGTCCCCTAGTTTCGAGTTGAGATCCTCTAGAGTTTGAAAATTATAGAGTTGTAGAGTTGTGAGAGTGAGAGTTTTAAATTATTTTTTATTGAACTTTTATTTTTTATTTTGAAATGCATGCAAGATGAATATTAGCCATTGATCTTTTGTGGAGGGTCTAGATTTATTGAACTCTATAGAGTTCAACTCTAGAGAATCCAAACCCCTCCCTGGCTTCTTTATATATTTATAATAATCTCTCTAATCCACTGTTCATATTTATGTACCACTCCTTCGTGAGTTCCTATATATAGTAAGAATTTGCATGTACTATAATTTAATGTTATTTTCTATTATCTAATTAATTTCCAAAACTCTAATTATAGCAATTTTCATATTTTCCTTAAAAACGTTTTTGGATTTTTTGACTTTTATCACCATAAAGTGTTTTTTTCCACTAAAACTTCTAAAACTCTATTTTACCACCAAAAAAATTCTAACAATTGTTTTTCACCACCTATCGTCAAAAGAACCGTTAAATCAAATAGTTAAAATAAAAATTCGATATGATTTCCTTTTAGAAAACATAATCTATAGAAGTTTTAGGTGTCAGTTTGTCCCTTGGATCTGATTTGAGGTTAGAATTGACAAAATTTATCGCTAATGCCTCGTTTTGTGTGTATTACACAATTTGAAGTTTCTTTTAGTAGGCAAAACAAAGCATTTGCAATAATTTAGGACAGAATATTTCACAAAAAAGGAAACTAGAATATAATACCGGTTGCCTTGCTTTGGGTTGATATGCCTCAAGAATTTTAGGTTAGTCACTAGTTAAACACAATCCAATTTCCGATATCCATCTCAATGTCAATGAGTTCTTGAACTGGCAGTTGTATCTTGTTTGATACTTAATAGTGTCTAAATTAAATTGTTTTATTGTCATAGTCAAATGACAAACATAGAAAGAGGCATGTATATTATAGAATATAAAACTTACACCCTCTTTGTTTTTAAACCAGACCAATAATGGACAGGTTGGTTTTCAACTAATTCAAATTAATAAAGTCGGAAGTATCGACAACTTTTTTTTTTCTTGCATCCATCAAAATGTTAATAATAATAAGCATATTTGATATTATAACACTGTATTATTTTTATGTGTATTGTAAACAAATTTGATATTTTTCTTTCTATCTCCTTTATTTACTCCTCAGTTCTCTCCGTTCATACACACTTTCACTTTATCTCATTTATGCGGTTCCAGTGGCGGATCTATTTTCTTTTGGGGCCGATAATTTTTAACGTAATTGGATAGATGACTATTTTCGTCGAATATGAATTTGTGCTTATTTGTTCATCAGTCATTAATGCCTTAATTTATTTACCATTTATGCATCACGATTTATTTCACAAGTATCTATACTAATATATTAAAAGACGTTTCTAACAACGTCCACGTGTCACGTAAACTCCCCTCACTATGCCATATCACCCGCTCAACTACACAACCTCTAATTATAGCATTAAGTGTCTTACCACCAAGCTATATGATTTTTTTTGCAATCTTTTCAATACAAAATATTAATATCTAGCAAATGACAATATGAACTACAAATTTATTAATTACAAGAAAATTGAATCATAAATTATAACGTAAATTTCCCTAAAAAAAAGTACAAAGTATATCAATGATTAGTTCCATGTAATAATCCGAGGCATTGCCCGGGTCCAAAAACTAGTTGAAAAACTTAAAACACGTTGTCAACTACTCCGTAATAGATATTACTCTATACTTTTATGTGAGATATTGATAAATTTTGATAACATTGTGTCAACTATACTTATCAACTAGATTTGGGTCGTGCCATCCACGATAATTTCACTACTTTTAATAAGAAAAGTATTAAAAAAATTTTAACAAAAATATCATGAAAAAAAAAATACAATTATAATATATTTTAACACGACTCAACCTGACTAAGAAAAAAAGCTAATAAGTTATGGGAATTTTGATAAATTTATTGAACGAGGCTAATATTTTTTCATATAGCACCATTAAACCATTTCGAGGCTGCCTAATAAGCAGGAACATTCACATTCGAGGTTGGGGCGAATTCGGTTTTCTCAGTTGCCTTGTCGCGTGAGAAACTTGTTTCGAACTGTCCCTTTTTCCAGTTTTTGTCTTTCTGAAAAAGGACATCGACTACACCTTTCTTTTCTTTTTTGAATACTTCACAGTCCGTTCACTATTGAAACTTCAAAGACATACTGCCAGAGCGCAATGACTTCACCTACTTTTCATCGTAAGATGATGAGAGCGAGGTAAAATAACGTAGAAAGAGAGAAAGTAAGTCTTCCCGACTATCGCAGTTAGGTTGCCAATTATTTGGTAAGGAGACCTGAGTGAGAGGCTTGCTCTCAGCTCTAGCGACTGGTGCTGGTCTTGCAGTTTTCAATAAGCCTACAAGGTACTAATAATGATGATGCATCTGCGCGAGGGATGGGGGAATACACAAGATCTTGATTTGTCTCAGCCGCTCTCCCCGTGGTCCTCTTGCCTTTGCCTGGCAGAGTCAGCCCAGTGCGTAAAAAATAACTGGCCCGTCAAAAGTCCGACAACATGACATAAAAGTGACACGAAAAAGCGGGTTTGTGTCAAGAGTTTCCGACTTGTTAATTAAACGGGTCAACATGACACAACATGTTTATTAAATGGGTTGGGTTTGGTTAGTGTTGAAGCTTCTTAACCAGTTTCATTTCAGACCAGGACATAACACGACATGACACAACAAATTTGTCAACTCTAATTTAAAAATTTAAAAATACAAAGTAAAAGATAGGGAGAATATTGTAATATAAATATGGAAAATACAAGAATCAAAATTATTACAGTTATATGATATGGTGATATTTTGTGCAAATTTATAGTAGTAAGTAGTTGATAGTATATATTGGCAAAAAAATGAAAAAAAAATAAAATGAAAATGGAGAAGGGTATTGTTAACTATTTTACCCGTCGTATTCACCAAAATCATTAACTAAAGTTAACTATCATCACTAGCTACAATCTAATACGAAATCTATATTTTACCCGTCGTATTCACCAAAATCATTAACTATTATTATTGTTGTTGTAAATTCAACATAAATTTTGCTTAAAAAAATATTTTTTTAACTTTTGGATGTATATTTTTTTAATCTAAAGTTAATTTAATTTTACTTTAGGTTTGTATATTTAACATTTGGAAACTCTATATTTATTTAAAATTATGTTAGATAGTAGTCTAAAATTACGTAGCTAATGGAAATTATATGAATAAAAATAATCACAATTTTATTATATGATTTTGTGAATATTTTGTGCATAACTTATAATAGGTAATTAATGGCATTTACTAAAAAAAAAAGGAAGAAAAAAAAAACGGAAGGAATTTTGGAGGGAAAAAACAGCACCAGGAAGCAGGAACTAACACGTGTCATTCCTGGTGTCTGTTTTAGTATTATGTTATTGATAATTTGATATATATTGATATGATTGAATGATAGTTAAGAATTGAACCTACCCTTAGATTGAAAGATTCCATTCTTCCTTTTATTTCTTGCACTAAGCCAAAACTTTGTTAATACTACGTATTTACACTTTATATTTTGCTGCTAATATTTGCTAGTGTCACTAATCAAAGTCGTTGGTAGCTAGCAGCTAAACTCATCCTGATTCTTGATTCAGCGTGCCATGTGCTAAATATGACACTTTTTGTAGCTAGTTATTACTTATTTAATACTATGATTGTACATTTGTACCTACGTACAAAATATTGTCTTTATTCTACATATACTCACTATATAAATGGACTATATAAAACAAAAAATACATATATTCCCCAAAATCATTCCAACTTCTATCTCAAAATATTACTACATACTTATCTTAAATGGATATTCTTTACTTCCCAAAAGAAGAGGAAGAAGAAAAAGAGTTCCAAGGCATAACAAAAAATTGCAAGGAGCTAATTTTATCCCTTCCTAAAGTTAAAGGATGGAGAACACCAAATCTCTACCTTTTCCAACGTTTTTGGTGTCAACCCAAAGAAATTCAAGCCATAATCTCAGCTCAAACCCACTTTGAAGCTCATGATAGTGATGTGATCATTGCTACTATTCCAAAATCCGGCACTACTTGGTTAAAAGCTCTTGTTTTTGCCATCGTAAATCGACGTCGTTTTGATGTCAACTCCATAGACCACCCCTTGTTAAGGTCTAACCCTCATGACCTTGTACCTTTCTTGGAGTACAAGGTTTATGCAGATAATCAAGTTCCAAATTTGTCAAATCTTGATTCTCCAAGGCTTTTTGCATCTCATGTACCTTACACCTCTAATTGCAAGGTTGTTTGCATATGTAGGAACCCTTTTGACACTTTTGTATCAATTTGGCATTTTATGACTAATATTAGGCCTAATAATCTTGGGCCTTTCTCATTAGAAGAGGCCTTTGATATGTATTGTATGGGTCAAGTAGGATATGGTCCATACTGGGATCATATGCTGGGTTACTGGAAAGAAAGTCTGAATTCACCTCAAAAGGTTATGTTTTTGAAATATGAAGATCTGAAAGAGGATGTGAATCTTCAAGTTACGAGATTAGCCGAATTTTTAGGGTGCCTTTTTTCAGCACAAGAGAAGAGAGATCATGTTGTCGAGGATATTACAAAGTTGTGTAGTTTTCAAAATATGAAGAATTTGGAAGTTAACAAAGATGGAAAATCTATTCTAAACTTTGATAACAAGGGCTTATTTAGGAAAGGTGAGGTGGGGGATTGGGTTAACCTTCTAAGTGAGGAAATGGTTGAAAGATTGAGTCAAATCATGGATGAGAAGTTGGCTGGTACTGGCTTGGAGTTTCCAAACATATTGAAGTCTTAGAGTTTGATGGTTTATAATTTGTATGTGTATCTTTGTGTTTTAAAAAATTGCTTAATATGTGTTTGTAATATCTGTAAACTACTTATGTTGTCTTATCTTATGCCCTATTTCACCTTTATATGAACTAGTTTTGGGTTCAAGAGATGTTATGTATTTGTTGATTTGATTTGGAATTCATATTTTGACTAGAAGGTCAATCTGTTTTTGCTATTGTCATCATGATCTTAGTTACTTATATGCATTTCTCTCTTCTTCATAATGATGTACTTTACTAGTTTTAGTAGAAGATAAATACATATGTATGCCTAAACTAATTTTTTTTTTAACCATCAATAATCAATCCTACATCATTGGTTTTACTTCCAAAAAGAAAAAAAAAAATATGTTTGACAACTTTCTCTCTTCTTTTTTTCTCTCGTCAAGAGAAAAGGATAAGATCGAACTTATTACATATTTATCTTATGGTAGTCATTTTTCGAATGACCCACAACTTTAACTTTTGATGATGCTAAATTTAAAATGTACAGAGTACATTGAAAAGTTTAAATAAACAAATCCGTAGCCAAAAAAAATAAAAAAAGAAAAAAGCATGAATGTGTAATGAATTGTCATTGAAATAGTACGTGCTTCCCATAATGTCATTTGCCGTACTTTTTTAATCTTTAAATTAAGGGATCTAATTAACAACTAACGATTAGAAGGCTTAACTTTAATTTATTCAATTTTTTTTTCTTGTTTGTTTATGAGGGGATAAATATGCTTCCATGTTTCAATAATTAATTTGACGTATTATTATTATTTCATCCACCAAATTTCAACGAGAATTGAAGAAAGAACAAGGAAATCGCAAAAATGGAAGCCAAGCTTCTATTATTCAGCACAATGTTGATCTTTGCCTGTGTCTCCTTTCCAGTCTATTCATGGGTAAGAATCAAAAATTTTGTTTGTTGTTAGATGATCATTCTCGTTTTTGTTCTTTTTCGATTGACTAAGATCACGAGTTTAGCAAATACTCCGGCGTATAGTATTGTTTAGTTGACCTTTAATCGATAACTCTCATAGTCCTGCAAAAAAAAATAAAGCAACAAGGGTTACAACAGCATGAGTTAGAGATAGAAAATACATCATTTTGTTCAAGGTCGCTAGGTAGGAGACTTTAGTGTATGCATTATATTTTTTGGAAGCAATTAGATGGTTTGAAGATAGAATGGTAGCAGTTAGATGTGCTCCTTCTGTCCCATAATTTCGTGCCTGTATTCCTGTTTGGACATCCCAAAATGAAAGTCTAACTGGCTAATACAAGAGGGGGGGTGAATTGTATTTGAGGTGAAATCTAAAACCTTTTTGCGGATTTTAACTAAATGAAATAATGACGAGAGAAGATATAGGCTTTTCTAAATTTCCACTATGTAATCAAAACTCTTTACAAGTGAAGATTCAAACCCGTTAACAAGTTCCACAAATTAGGAACTTGTTCCCAACTCTCACAGAAGACTTCAGCAACGAAGCTTCCTTCACCTCACCTTACAAACTCACAATCCCAACCCCAAAGTACTTGAATACAATATGTGATTACAAATACCTACTGCACTCAAGAATATAAGAAGGATAATAACTCTCTTTATGTTATTAGATGGCTACTGGAATTTTTATGCTCAAGAGTTATGTTTTGCTGAGATAGTTTGCATGAGTATTTATAGAGAAGGCTTAGTCATTAACCTCCACCATAATCACGTCCACATGTCAACAACCCACTAACAACTTGTGGAGTTATCTTGACAGATTGTGATCATGAAGAGGTTTCCTAGCCTTATCTAATTAAACCACTATCCTAACAACTTGATAACCATTAGCCGTATAAAAGATTTTCTCACAGAAAAACCACTTGCTAACTTTATCAAATATTTATTTAAAAGATTATCAAAAGTTTGTTTAAAAAGATTTTATTTGAAAAGATAAATTTATTATTTATTAAAACAACTAGATAATTATCTTCGATAATTATCTTTATTAAAACTTTTACAAATTATCTTTTCTTTAAGAAATTATCTTTTAAAACTAACTTTTATTCCAGTAGTCTTTAACATAAGTCATTGAGTTCCTTTCCGACTTTATATTATTGAGTGCTCACAATTAAAACTAGAACGTGAGATTTGCACGAGGCTTTTTAAAGAATGCTACTCCGCATCCAAGTTCCTACTCCGGAACGAACTTTGCTTGAATCCTTTATTCACCAAAGACTCAAAACATTCATTAGTCGAGTTTGTCAATTTGTCCATCAAAACCAAAAGGCTCAACAAATTCCCCCTTTTTGATGATGACAAACATTGACAAACTTAGGTAAATAAAATCATCCAGGCATGCAACAAAAATTTAGAGTAAGGCATGAAAACAAAAAAAACAATTAAAGAACTTAGAAAAATATTAAAAAGTATTTTTTTTTTTTTTTTTTTTAAAAAAAAAACTGAGCAAAAGAAAAATTAACAAAGACTTTAAAAACTGAACTTGGCAAAAGTTTGTACCTTCGATGTGTGAGTTCCTTGGTAAACACTTTAGCCGCCATGAAGTTTGTCTTTTCCCCCTTTTGGCATTATCAAAAGATTGAAAAAAAACATTTTGCTATACTCCCACTAGACTACGTAGGGAATAGTGAGCTCAAATAATGCAAGGCAAAAATAAGTTAGGTACTAAATCATCAGCAACCACACACAATCATATGAAAAATACGAGCCAAGTTCCGATTTAGGAAATAGAAGAGGAACATAGAGAATGTAGCAAAGGATAAAGGCGTACAAACCAAAGTTCAGAGAGATTAAACAAGACCAAAATAAAATTGTTCAACATATGAAATTAGAATAAGTGCAATCAAGGATTTAAGAGGCTGCATTGGTAGGATCAAGGGTTGGATTTGTGGGATCAATAGAGTCTTCCTCGACTTCCTCAAAGGCTACTTTGTTGATAGTTTCCAAGATCTCCTTGTTGCCTTCACTAAACTTGCCTTCAGCCTGTGCAAGCTTTGCCTCCACGCCTGCAAATCCGGTTGCTTGAGATTCTGCCAGAGCCTGCACCTGGCCTTTAAGAGAAAGCAATTCCGAGGCCATTTCCTCCAGTTTCTTGCTCACCAGAGTAGTCAACTTCTCCATATCTGCTTGAACCTGTTGAAAATCATAAACAGACACACGAGTTCCAGAGAAAGCAGCAAAGCCAGTAGGCTGAAATGGAGGAGGAGAAGGTGAATGAGAAGGCTGCCTAGTAGGTGAGACAGGAATAGAAGAGGGTTCAGTGGAAGAGGGAACTTGGGTAGGTTTGAAGGTGGAATCAGATTTGTCTGAGGAGCTGATGGTTTCTACAGTCACAGGGTGTGTAGTAGAAAGGGCAGGCTTGACCACATTCCTCTTACTCCTTCTAAGGCCCCCTGTAAACACAGGAATGACAGGTGGTCCAGCTGTGCTCTCAGAGTCTGTGGTATGTTCCCTCTCACTTTGATCAGTTCCCTGCCCCTCATGTAAGTCAGATTGTCGAGCTTCCCCCTCAGAAACTTCCATATGTTCCCCCTCAGAATCTTCCTGTTTTTCTCCTTGCACATCTCCCTCAAGTATTTTTTCTTTGTTTTTCTCTCCGTTAGAACTTTTTTCTTCTTCCTTATCTCCCTCAGAATCACTGGAGGTGGTAGCACCCTCACTAGCCTCCTCACTACCCTGGTCACTGCTTGCATCACATTCTTCCTTAGCTTCTTTCCCTTTCCCTTTCTTTTTCTCCCCTCCTTTCCGAGGCACAAAACATACTTTGCCATTTGTAAGCCTAAGACTCAGTCTAAGTAATGATTGTTCAGAGAGGATATTATCGGGTTTGAGATATGTTGGGGATTCACATTCAACATCAATACCAAAAGATTTGAACAACACAGTAAGGAAAGAGCCATATGGAATTGTGGTCTTTTGAGCATAAAAATTCAAGTGTTCAATCATTAGAGCAGGGAAATTAATCTGTATTTTGCATGCAAGACAGAATATGAGGGAGGCATCCAAGAGTGATACGGTACTCCGTTTTTGTAAACGGGGTACTATACCCTTCCAGGTGAAGGTAAACAGTAGCTTATGAAGGGGTGTTAGGGCATGATGGTGAGTAGTTTTCACTTTCGGATTTCCTCCAATAAATTGAAGGATTTTGCATTCATCATTATGGCCAATATTTACAGATTGTTTGTGCTTTAAATAAGAACAATAGCCTTTAACAGGAACTTGAAATAGATTTCCAAGATAATTGGCATCAAACGAAATTGGAATATCATTAACTACGGCCGAGCACACACCATTATCACATTGAAAGGTATTTTTGAACTCATAAATAAATTTAGGATAAACAGGGTAATGAGAACAATTCTGGAACAAGTGAGTCCATTTTTGATAATCAATTAAAGAAGTAAATTCAGTGAACTTACTCGCCACACACCAATCATAGTTGATGTGATATCCGAGAGTGTAATTCCATGATGGGAATTTGGTGGTTGCGCGCCGTTTCCTGTCGCCGCCCTTCACAGCCTTAGCCTTCCTCTTTGGCTGAGCAGATGGATGCACCACCGCAATTGGCACCGGTTGTGGAGACCCCGTGTTTGAGGAGGGTTTGAATGGTGGTGATCGGGTTTTTGGGGTGGTGTTTCGGTTGGTTTTCATGGTGTTGAAGGTAAAATGAAGGGAAGGAGAAGATGAATAGTGTGAATAGGAAGGAGAGAGAGTGAGGCCGGTTATGGGAGTGTATGGGGAATTTAATTGATTTGATAGGTGAAGGTGGAGTGAAAAGAAGAAAAAGAGTTTAATGGGGAGGAGTGAGAAAGAAAAGTGACGGTTTAAACTGTGAGGTAGTGGGGTAGTTTTAGAGGTAGTAGGATTTAATTTGGTGAAATAATTGCACTCATCTAATTCAATGTTGATAAAATAAAATCGTAAGTTAAGAAGTTGATATACATGCTTCTTATCTTACGTAGCAAATAAGATCTTTTTGTATTGAGGAATAGAAAAATTCATCATGAAAAAATAAGGAAGGAAAAAGATAAGAATAAAAAAAATAAGATAGGAATAAAAGATAAGAAAGAAAATAACAAGAAGAAAAAAAAAACAGATAAATAAAAAATGAAAAGGATAAATAAGAGCAAATTGATTGTAAATTATGATGATAATTTACGTGATCATGATACAGAGAGTAAAGAATGATGAAAAGGGAACTTAAAAAAAACATGGCTCAATATTTTTAACATATTAAAAGTATGTATACGTGACTTTTCAATACTTCACAAATCTTTCCCCTGGGTAATTTCAGCTGTGTTATGCACACAAGATTGAGCATAGCATCGTTAGTTACATCCGATTTTACCTTAGGGGTTCCAAACAAAAGTCACTTGAGCCGTAGCATCCCCAATTCCACACGCATCTTTTCAAACTTGTCTCTGCTTAAAGGCTTAGTTAATATATCAGCAATTTGTCATTCAGTAGAAATAAAATCTAGCCTAATTAAGCCCTTTTTCAAGAAAGTCATAAACATATCAAAAGTTTCATCTTTACTATGTAAGAATATGACCCATGTAAATCTAGAATAATCATCTACAAGAACTAAGACATATATTTTTCCACTTCTACTTTGAATTCTAACGGGGCCACACAAATCCATATGAATGAGTTCCAATGGTTTTGTGGTGCTTACCATTTTCTTTGATTTAAATGATGATCGAACATGCTTTCCTTTGATGCAAGCTTCACAAATTTTGTCATTTAGGAATTTGATAGAAGGTAATCCGATTACCAAGTCCTTTGACCTTAATTTGTCAAGCAATGAAAGACTAACATGTCCAAAACGTCTATGCCATAGAAGTGGATCATCCTCAATAACACTTAAACAGGATAGATTGTATTTTGGAACTTTGTTAAGATCCACGGTATACGTGTTCCCTTTACGAGTTCCTTCCAAAACGATTTTTCCAGTGTTATTGTTGATGATTTTGCAATTTTCAGAAGAAAAGCTTACAGAGTTTCCTTTATCACAAAGATGAGATATACTGAGTAGATTATGCTTCAAACCCTCGACTAAAAATACATTGTCAATTGCATGGGAACTTGACCTTCCTACTTTGCCAACAGCAACAATGTTGCCTTTCTTATTGTCTCCAAAGGTCACTGTTCCCCCTGTATAGGCCGTCAGTGAGAGAAATCTGGATTCATCTCCTGTCATGTGCTTAGAGCAACCGCTATCGAGGTACCACTGGTTGTTCCCCCTCACTGCGACCTGCAAAAGAAATTAAGGGTTAGTAGCAGGAACCCTTTCATTCATGGGTTCCTGTGTTGACACATTTAAATCAGATTTCTTCTGCCAAACATAGTTCACATTCTTATTGTACAGATTTGCTTTCTTAGTACATTCTTCACTGCGATGTTCCTTTTTACCACAAAAAGAACAAACGGTCTCACTAGGTAAGTTCACATATTTCTTTTTCTTTCCAGTGGACTTCTTCTTATGAACATAGCCTAGACCTTCTGTTCTTTTTGTCTGAGCTTCCTTTACCCACTTGGGAACACCCGTGCTTGCTGTATTTTTACTTTTTCTTGCAATTTCTAGGTCCTTTTCTAGTTTCTCATTTTTATCATTGGTTTCCTTTATCTCTTTCTTAACATGCTCTAGTTCATTATTAAACATGATTAAAGGAACTTCAGTAGACCTGCAAGAATCAATGTTAGTACACAACATTTTATATTGAGTCAATTCAATATTCAGCATGATATTCTCACTCTTGACTCTTTCAAGGGATTCTTTTAGCATAATATTTTTATCTAACAATTCAAAGAATCTGCCTTGAACATCATTTCTTAAGCTATTCAGATACTTAACATGATCTCTACAAATTCCAGTTGCCTTTTCGGCTTGCCTTAGTTTTGCACATAATTCTTTATATTCATCTAAGGTTTCTAACAATAAAGAGATTAATTTATCCTTTGAGAGAGATTTCAAATAACTAGGTTGAATGACTACCTCATCATCATGCTTTGCCATTAGACAGAGATTGGCTACTTCATCGTCTGTGTGTTCCTGTTCCTCTTCTTCGGAACTCGATTCTCCCCACGTGGAAATCATTGCTTTCCTGAAATTTGTTTTAGAAAAGTTAGGCTTGGAATTTCTGCTTTGATCAGTTTCTTTTCCCTTGCCTTTCTCAGATTCCCATAATGGACACTCTTTGATGAAGTGGTTGGTGCTTCCACATTTGTGACAAGAAGACTTGGCTTTGGGTTCCTGATTTCTTTTACTGTATCCTTTCTTCTTGTCTAAAAACTTGTTGTTACGGTAGAATTTTTTCAGCCTTCTCACCAACATTGCAGCTTCTTCTTCATCGATGTCAGACTTCTCTTCGGATTCTTCATTAGCTCTTAATGCTAGCCCTTGACTTTTGACAGTCTCCTGAGTCCGATTGTTCGACTGGATCTCGTGAGTAATGAGGGAACCCGCAAGCTGTTCCAGATTGAACTTGGTGAAGTCTTTTGATTCTTGCACCGCTGCGACCTTTGCTCTCCATCTGTCATTGTCTGGAAGACTTCTTAAGACTTTTCTGACCTGCTCATCTATAGGAATTATCTTGCCAAGACACGTTAGTTCGTTAGTAATACTTTTAAATCGAGTAAACATGTCTTTAATGGATTCTTTGTTTCCCATTTCAAAGCGCTCATACTGAGACAAAAGAATGTCTATTTTGGAACGTTTAACATCTGACGTTCCTTCATGTGTAACTTCCAGAAGATCCCAAATTTCCTTTGCGGACTTGCACCCTTTGACACGAGTATGTTCATCGGGTCCAAGTCCCCAAATTAAAAAATTTTTGGCAGTAGCATTCATTTCAAGTTTTTCAAAATCAGTTTTTTCATACTCATCCATAGGTTTAGGGATTACCTCATTATTAGCATTCGTTTTCGTAATTTCGTAATCTCCTACTTGTATAATCCGCCATACCTGATAATTCTCTGCTTGGATAAAGATTTCCATCTTATCCTTCCAATAAGGATAAAATTTGCCGTTGAAGTATGGAGGCCTTTGAATGGATGTACTCCCGAATTCCTTTTCCTCTGTGTAAGCCATTTTCCAGGAACTTACTCAACAGGGTTGCCTGCGTGTTCTGAGTTCCGGCTCTGATACCAACTGAAAGTCTAACTGGCTAATACAAGAGGGGGGGTGAATTGTATTTGAGGTGAAATCTAAAACCTTTTTGCGGATTTTAACTAAATGAAATAATGACGAGAGAAGATATAGGCTTTTCTAAATTTCCACTATGTAATCAAAACTCTTTACAAGTGAAGATTCAAACCCGTTAACAAGTTCCACAAATTAGGAACTTGTTCCCAACTCTCACAGAAGACTTCAGCAACGAAGCTTCCTTCACCTCACCTTACAAACTCACAATCCCAACCCCAAAGTACTTGAATACAATATGTGATTACAAATACCTACTGCACTCAAGAATATAAGAAGGATAATAACTCTCTTTATGTTATTAGATGGCTACTGGAATTTTTATGCTCAAGAGTTATGTTTTGCTGAGATAGTTTGCATGAGTATTTATAGAGAAGGCTTAGTCATTAACCTCCACCATAATCACGTCCACATGTCAACAACCCACTAACAACTTGTGGAGTTATCTTGACAGATTGTGATCATGAAGAGGTTTCCTAGCCTTATCTAATTAAACCACTATCCTAACAACTTGATAACCATTAGCCGTATAAAAGATTTTCTCACAGAAAAACCACTTGCTAACTTTATCAAATATTTATTTAAAAGATTATCAAAAGTTTGTTTAAAAAGATTTTATTTGAAAAGATAAATTTATTATTTATTAAAACAACTAGATAATTATCTTCGATAATTATCTTTATTAAAACTTTTACAAATTATCTTTTCTTTAAGAAATTATCTTTTAAAACTAACTTTTATTCCAGTAGTCTTTAACATAAGTCATTGAGTTCCTTTCCGACTTTATATTATTGAGTGCTCACAATTAAAACTAGAACGTGAGATTTGCACGAGGCTTTTTAAAGAATGCTACTCCGCATCCAAGTTCCTACTCCGGAACGAACTTTGCTTGAATCCTTTATTCACCAAAGACTCAAAACATTCATTAGTCGAGTTTGTCAATTTGTCCATCAAAACCAAAAGGCTCAACACAAAATGTTGTGGCTGTTTCTAAAAATAGCCTATAAGGTCATAGTTATTACTTACTTTTTATCTTTTCCATACCAAATATACATATATTCAAAAAATCATTACTTACTTTTTGTTTTTTTTCTTATAATATTCTCTAATATTTTTTTTTTAATCTTTATCATACAATATTCACTACTTTTTATCTTTCCAATATAATATTCTTCTCCACCATCTCCTTAATTACTGTGTTTTTAAGGCATGAAATAATGAGACGGAGGGAGTACATATTAAGATAAAAGTTGGCATGTTTGTTTGGAAAGCTTGTAGGATCGGTCTTTGGCAAAATAGATTAAGTACAAAGATTGTCTAAACATCCAATACAACAAGGCTTAAATTAAACCAGTTGTTTTAATCAGCTATAATAGCTTAGGGCGATATTTATTTGTTTTGTTTTGTTTTGTTTTTTTTTATTTATTAAATTTTATACTAGAAGGGATAGTTTAGTTACACGACTTACACCCCATAATCCAATCCAAATGTTAATGTTGATCTATGTTAGTGGACCATTTTAACTAAAAGCTTAAGTTGATAGTTGAGACCCACGAATATGTTTTTATACTTTATCACGCCTCTCACATTAAAACCTATTTGGCTTAAAGTGTGGATACATAATAGCTCTTTCTCATACTTTGCGCTTAATATTCCACTTTGGAAGGAGGAGTGGATACGCTAGTTCAGATACCATGTTAGTGAATCATCTTAACCAAAAGTTTATGCTGATGATTGAATTACATAAAAACGTTTTTATACTCTATCAATTTACACATTTATCTAACCTAAAATACTTAATTTGTTCAATTCTTTCAGGATGATGATGAATGCACCTACGTAATCTACGTGCAAACCGGCAATGCACAAACCGCAACAACGTATGCTAAAGTGAACCTTGAATTACGTGACAAATATTTCAATCGCTTAAACATCACAAACCTTCAATCTTGGGGGATTATGAGCAAATATCATTACTACTTTAGAAGTGGAAATTTGGATACATTTGCTGTGAAAGGCAATTGCTTAAGAGGCCCCCTTTGTAGCATGACATTAAGTCATGATAACACCGGCGTATCTCCCGGTTGGTACGTGGACTATGTTGAAGTTACCTCTATTGCACCAAGTCGGGGTTGTCGGAAGATTAATTTCCCGGTTAATGCGTGGTTGGCCGTCGATGAGCCACCATTTGGTACCGCTAGTCGGGGTGTGTATTTGTGTGATGAGATTATTAGGGATGATGGTATATGCTCCTAGCTAGAAGATTTGATTCGGCCTCTAACTCGGTTATGCTACAATTAATTTAACTGTAGTGCATAATTGCTTAGTTATTGATTGAGTTTTGCACTTTGGCTTTTATTGGAATGTGAGTTGAAAATAAGAAATGTGTTGTATGTATTGGGATATCAATCAATCAATCAATATATATATTAAAACTCAATGTTAAAGATTGTAATCCTACCATGTGTCACCAATCTCGCCACATGTCATTATGGTTTGACAAATCATGTGGCACATCAATGACACATATATTATGATACTTGGTACGGAGTAATAAGTTGCATTTAAATGAGTAATTCATGTTCATAAATTCTAAAATTTCAATTGTCAACTTATGTGTATATATTTTAACAACAATATGATTACAAAATTAATTCCATTTCTTTCCATTACTCATTTACAATTCATATAGGTTATATGTATTTAAAATACAATCATGTGGCACATCTATGACATATCTTATGATACTTGGTACGGAGTAATAAGTTGCATTTAAATGAGTTATTCATGTTTATAAATTCTAAAATTTTTAATTGTCAACTTATATGTGTATATTTTAACAACAATATGATTAAAAATTAAAAATGAATTTCATTTCTTTCAAATATTCATTTACAATTCATATAGGTTAAAAGTATGTAACTCAAAAATGCATAGTTTTTAAAGGTTTTTTCTTTTAACCATAAGATATGTTTACTTTGTTCTCAATATATATATATATATATATATATATATATATATATATATATATATATATTGTTGGACTTAATGATTTTGATGATGACACAACCTCACTTACTTACAAACTAATAAGTGCTTGATTGTTTAAGTGTGTACTCAGTTACAAAGACTAGGAGAATGAAGTGTCTTGTAAAAATACCATGAGGAACAAGAAGGCCAGAAGCAGAGCTAGCCATATAGAAGAGTTCCCTCGCAGGAACTGGCGCTTCAGAAATGAAGACTGGAGAAGAGAAGGTTCCCTCAGGGAACAGAAGCTTCAGAGAAGAAGCCTCATCAGAGAAGAGAAGTTCCTCCCAAGGAACAGAAGCCTCGGAGTAGAAGCTTCATCAGAGAACATGAAGACTAAATATATTTTTATATTTTAGGATTTATGTAAGTATAAGATATTAAATGGCACTCGAAAAATCTGTGTGGAATTGGTCTAAAAAGATAAAATTGTGCATGCTAGTTTTTAGGAAAACGGTTGCTTTCTAAAACGTTTATCTTTTGAAAGGGATTTTGTTTTATTCTGAATTTCGAAAATATCTTGTGCAAAAAGATTTTATTTTATTTTCTTATTTTCGAAAATATCTTCTGAAAAAATAAAATCACCATGTTTTCCAAAACTTACGGCTTACTCTAGGAACATGTTCAATGTCAGTCATGGTTTTGCACATTGAGGAGTTCATGGTTCCTTAATTCTAGGAACATGATCTTCTTAGTGGGTATGAGTAGTGGCGTAATGGTGTTGTTGCACAAAGAGAATTTTTCAAAGCATTTGTTGATCTATAAATAGCCATTGATTTCTGTTGGAAAAACTCACCCTTGCTCACATAAGTTTTCAAGCTTCAAATCGAGTCAAGTGTCAATTCCACACAAGTTCATTAGAGTGTTCTTAATGTTCTTATACTAGAGTTTGTTTTTCTTTCGAGTTGTAATTTGGGGAATGGGGAAGTTCGAGTGAACGTTTGTGTATGAGAAAGAGAAGAGAAAGAGAAGAGAGAACAGAGAAGTGAGAAGAGAGAACAGAGAAGTGAGAAGAGAGAAAGAGAAGAGAAGAGTAACAAGTTGGGTGACTTGTTCCTCAGGGTCTCAAGTTCGTAGAAGAACTTGAGTTTGAGTCGTTAGCTTGTAATAGGATCATTTGCCCTATTATAGTGAAGATTCTTTTCCCAAAATCCCAAGTGGTCGTGGTTTTTCTTCTTGTTAGGGCCAAGGCGTTTTCCACGCAAAATCTCTCTTGCATTCTTTAGTTCCTTTAGTTAATCTCTCAGTTCCTTTAGCTAACTTAATTTTAATTCCGCAAAAAGTTTGGCTAATTTCTCATACTACAATTCAACCCCCCCTTCTTGTAGTATTCTTTAAAACAACATATATATATATATATATATATATATATATATATATATATATATATATATATATATATATATATATATATATATATATATATATATATATATATATATATATATATATATATATATATTAGAAAAAGAAAGGATTATACGTAGACATGATTGTCTGTTGTCTGGTATTATTATCATCATCATCATCATCATCATCATCATCATCATCATCATTATTATTATTATTATTATTATTATCATCATCTCAAAAACAAAACAACCTACAATAAATTAGTGGGAAGCCGAGATACAATCTGGGCCCCCACTCCTCTAGCTATTGCAAATCCTACCCTAGTGAAGATATGAGCTGCAGCACGAGCCCCAATGTCTTGCGTCGTCGAGAACCTTTGAATCCGCTTCAGTAACGCAACAACCTCTTTCTCTAATTCCCCAAGCAAAGAAAAGGAGAAGGGAATGAAACCATATCCAATCGCCTGACATCGAGCTTCATACTTAACCCGCTTCCGATGAGCTGCATCAGCCACAACCCGCCCAGGAATGAAGTCAGATAGCCCTGACTGTGTCAAAGGAGAAGACCCTGTCAAATCAACACAGACATCGCGACCACGATCCCACGAATAAAGTAACACATCCGCGGGTCTGAGGGCCTCGTCGTTCCCTCCGGCCAACCCAATGTCAACCTCTTTTCTCGCTGAAATCCCAGAACGAAAGCAAACATCAACAAGGGTATCCCGAAAAACATTATGCCAATGTTTAATACCCACAATACCAGCACAAGACACTGCGTGATCACCGAAAATATCTCCAGCAAAAACCCTCGAACAAGCAGAGCACAACGTTGAGATAGAGAACAACGGTACACCTAACCGATAGGACAACACACAGCGATAAGTCTTGGCGTTCATCGTCTGACCCAACCCTGAAATAGGAACCGCCCGAAGCCAAGCAGAGGTGTGATCACCTTGATGTGATTTCCATAATGCTGATTGTCGAGGAGTTAAAGAATAAGCAGATTCTGCAGAAGCGGTAACCTTTGTGAAATATATATCTGCCAATTTCTTCATGAGTTTAGGGGCAGTGACCTCACTAGGAATACTCAAAATGTCAGACTCCACTGTTCCATTAAACAGACTCAACGCATCCTCAAAGGCTCGTCCAAGACCAACAATGCCAGCATGCCGAAGAAGTTGTGTCTGCAACCCAGCAGACTGTAACCGAGAAGCAAGAAAAGCATAGTGACGAACATCACCTGCAGAATAAACACCAAGCCCTCCAAACGCAAATGGTAAGGTGGCAAGTCGCCACTGCCAATCACCAAACCCCGGCCCCGAAGCAGTAACAATACGCTCCATGGAAGATCGAAGAGCTGCATCAAAAGTGCGCTGAGCCACCTCAAAAGTACTAGGAGGACAAGTACGCAATGCAAAGTAGAGTTTTGAAACTCCAGTACATGCCCTAAGTAACAACAGCTCACACTGAGGATCATCGAGCATAGCGACCTTATCCATAAGGGCAATGGTGTTGGTCACCCTCTGCATCATAAGCTCACCACTAAAACCAGAATCGGAACTAGCGGGACCTCCAAGCAACCTAACACCACGCAAAGGTCGAGCAATATTAGGTGGAAAGACACCCACCAGCCTGCTTCGAGGGTCTTCTATAGGCCAGAAAACTTCAGTTTTTTCCACATTAAGACATAACCCAGAACGAGGTCCTTCCTCCATAATCAACTGCAGAACTTGCCCCACCACCAAAGTGTCACCAATAATCGTGTCGTCATCTAAATACCAAGCCTGAAGACATACATCAAAAGTCTCTCTGATTTTACACACCAGGGATTGTAAAACCAAAGAAAAAAGCAAAGGACCAAGGGGATCACCCTGCTGCACCCCTTGAGATGACCATAAGGTTCGGTCCCCATAGTGCAACCTGGCTGGATTAGAATAGCAGAATTCTACCCATCGCGAAATGCCCGGACAACGACAACGTACCTCACGTAACATGACCGAACGATCAACCAGATTGAAGACATTTTGAAAATCCACCAACAATATAGATAAACCAACATCAGAACCACGGTCCTCAATCAACCGATTCACCGCATGAAGAATTGCCTCACCACCTGAAGAAACCCCAACACCAAATTGAAGGCCATCAAAGTAACTCCTTAAAGACTGACCAACCATAACAGCACCCACCTTCGAAACGAGACGCCGCCAAACCGTACCCACAGCAATAGGACGGATACCACCACCGGGCTTGACAAGTGGCGTAAGAGGAGCACTAGCAATGTACTCTCCTAATTCCATAGGACATCTCCCAGCTAGAAAGAGATTAACCACCCTAGTAATAGAGTCAACCAACTCATCTGATACTTCCATAGCCGCACCACTCAAGCAATCCATAAGATGTTGAGCACGCAAACCATCCCTACCACATGATGTGCCACGAGGGAAACTCCTAATCCGATCCAAAACAACAGCAGAAGTCGTAACGAGATGAAGGTGATCAATAGGTATATCAGGCAAGGATGGAGCTGGAGATGAAGGGTGCTTTGACTGTAAATCTGCAAGAGTGGCGTCATTATAAGGTGCAACGCCTGCTGAAGAAAGAACCCGAACCGCAGCAGTGTAATGGCCATCGCAAATCTTCCTACGACACTGCTTAATATTACGCTCTTCCAAATCAATGTCCTCATCATCAACCATCGACAAAGTAGGAGAATCCTCTGCCAAAATTTCCCTCACAAGCTGCAAATTACCACCCGCTACACTCCAAGAACAAATAGCACGGGAAATACTCTCTTCTTGATGCCGACGTCTTACCGAAGACCAAGACTCACGACTACTCCGCGGGCGAAAGATTTTAAGGATGCAAAGAGGTAACACCAACAAAGAGACCCAATTAGAAATGTCATCAGGCTTAAAGATCACCTTATCAAGAGCACCTTTCAGAACCCGAGAAAACCCCAAACGATACTTGGGAGGGATAGACTTAACAGAGCGAAACCCCTTAGAGAATAAACAATCAAGGAGGGCCACATCAAAACCACAGTTATGATCTTTCACCAATCCATCCATACGATCAACTCGAGCAGGAGAAGAAGGAGATTGCGGCTTGGTGAAATTATGAAGCACAAAATGAAC